GAGATTAGCGGAGTTCAGAGAGAGAGAGAGAGAGAGAGAGAGAGAGAGAGAGAGAGAGAGAGAGAGAGAGAGAGAGAGAAAGAGATGGAAGAGGAGCTTACCTGTTGCGACCTACCAGCGCCATAGCTGGGCTCTCCCCAGGTAAGTGGGAACAGAAAGCGCCTAGCTTTCTTCTTCTTCTTCTCCTCTCCTTCTTCTTCTTCTTCTCCTCCTCCTCTCCTCTTCTCCTCCTACTCCTCCGAAGTTCTTCTTCTTCTTCTTCTTCTTCTTCTTTATCAGAGTAGAGATAGAGGTAACTGCAGACATTGTTTGGACACGGCATTCTGCCTTATTGGACGCSACATTCAGATCGGACTTACACTCTACATTGGGATTGAACTGTGTACGACATTCGGAGATCAGACTTGGGTTGGACTTGGTTATCTCCTATGTCTCTCCCCTTTCTCTCCCGCATGTCTATGGATCTCTCCCCATGTGTGTGAGCGGAAGGGCAATCTTTCTGATGTCCTGCCCTTCCGAAGTTTCCCTCTTTCCTGTTTGTCTGTCCTCGTGTCCTTTGGTTACTAAGACTTCCGCTGTGCTGCTTCCCAGCCCATGATGATGATACAGATGTGTTGTTGTTGATTTCTCGTTGGTTTACTATTTGCATTGTGCACATTGGCATCTTGTGAACGTTGCATCTATGCTGCCGGTTGTTGCCAGTTTCATCATTGCTAGATCTTAGGCTCTCGGTGCATTTCACTTCCTGATATGCTACAGTTGGGCAATGCATGTAGAGCCAAGGATCCGCGAAGTGATGAAAAGGACTCGAATGGACAATACAGCGTTAGCAAAGCATCACAAACAATGTACAGCTAGATACATAAGAAAATAGCACAATGTAGCGCAGCGGAAGACTCAAAGATATGACCTGACTCATCAGAGACTGACGCGACATCCCATCATACACCACACATGTGAGAAAGGGAGGAGCGAATGCATACATGGAAGAAAGGTCCCTTTTTGCACACACACATGCGGGAAGATATCACGGATGAGAGATGGGGGAGAGGCGAGATGAAGATGGAGGTGACGGAGAGCGAAGTCCAAAAATAGTCTCCCTGCCGAATGTCCAATCAATGTCTGCCACAAAATGTTGAATCAGATCCTGGGCCTCACGCCCGATGCAACCTCTGCCTGTAACCTCTCTCTCTCTCTCTCTCTCTCTCTCTCTCTCTCTCTCTCTCTCTCTCTCTCTCTCTCTCTCTGAACGAAGGAGGAGGAGGAGGAGGAGGAAGGAGGGAGAAGAGATGGAGGGCGAGACGAAAAAGAAGAAGAACTCGTCCTACTCGCTGTCTCACCTGCAGGTAACTTCCGCCATGTACTAACTGCCGCCCTGGTCCCTGTGCAGGTCGCCGGCGTGGAGCACGGCTTTGGCACCCAGGTAAGTACAACCGATGCAGGTATGGCCCCCGTCCCTCTGCCTGCCTACTCCTCTACCTCTACCCCAGCGTAGCGCTGTAGCGCTGTGGCGCTGCTCCAGCAGCATGTCACCCAAGAAGTGAGCTACTCGAACTGTGTCTGTCCAGCCGTGGCCCAGTTATAGTAGCGCTGGGCCGGCTGGCCTCTGTGTGCCTACGGTCCTGTGCCCAAAACGTGGGCCTACTGGGTCTGGGTCCCGACCGGACGTCCACACCCTGTAACTGGCCCAGGGAGGCCTGCATCCTCGTGAACCTGGCCCAAGGCGCAGCCTTGGGGACTGCAGGTCCAAAACGACGCCTGCACAGACAAAAATAGGACAGCAAATACATAAATACCCCTTTGACCAGGTAAGCTAGGACAAAGGTGAAGCGATTTGGAAAAACGAAAAATCAATTGGACAATCATCAAACCGAATTGGTCAGTTCGATTTTCCTATTCAGTTCATGATCGGAACCGATTTGGGCAGTCGATACAGGTTGGGATAAGTGATGAGCATTTTGGACACATCAGATTAAGGTTGGGATAAACGATGAGCATTTTGGACATACTGGATATAGGTTGGGATAAATGATGACCATTTTGGACAGAATGATTTAACAGTTTGGATGCATGCCAGAGTTAGGCAGATTGATTTAACAAATTAGTATTACCGAAACCCCACTTCATACAGCAGTCAACCGATTTGAGATTCTGTGGACACCATCGGGACGAACARAGATATCAATTTAGTGAAGCGATTTTGCATGTTAGTCACATGCGTCTGAATCACGGGCCTGCTGCTCCCGAATCACGGCCTGCTGCACCCGTAAACTGTMGACCTAGAACTTCGCCCCGATTAGYTTTGCCGAAGTTTYGTGTYACCTCTCTAAWCCATCMTTGGCAYATCTCGGCAGTGATCCGCAAAAGACCCCGGTTGATTGCATCAATCAGATTCCCCTGCCCCCCAAGTTCCTCACGACAAACGCGGCTCTTGACATTGCCTCCTCTCCTCTTGGTCATCTCTGAGCCATAAGCCTCGAACGCGATAACGATGTTGTGCACAGTACTGCGTGGAAAGCCATAGCGTACTGCAGTCTCTGCAATCGTTTTGCCTTCAACGAAGATAGACTCGATGATCTTTCGCCTCTGAACATCGTCAATGCGGTTGTACCTGCCTCTCCTGCCTCTAGCGGGCATACTGTATTGGGCACGTGAACGCGCAAGGCACGCAAACGCATAATCGTGACCGCACAAGGCCAGTGATTCGATGCTCGATGGAAGTGAATGCACGGTGATGGATGCAGGTAGCACACGTGAGCGATACACGAGTTTCTGTGGGGCCCACCAATTTATGCGCTCGTCAGTCTAAATCGTTCAGTCCTTTGACGAAGGGCACAGTGGGTCTGTTCAAGTTTCTAGAATACCTGTCCATATCTGTTCACACGATGTCCAATTCAGAACTACCGGTCCAAGAAGCTTCTACAAGAATCTAAAACGCTTGGACTACATGGCAGATTCCAATTCTACCGGTTCAAGAAGCTTCCACGAAATTCCAAATCGGTTCGCCGTTTCTCCAACTTCGACGGGTTCACCTAATTTGATAAAAAAAAAATCCAATTCCAATCTGCCGGTCCAAGAAGCTTCTTGAAATTCCAAATCCGTTCGTCGTTGCTCTAACTTCTACGCGTTCACCTAATTCGATAAAAAAAAACTCCAATACGGTATTGTTTTGGGCGGGGACCTGGTAGGGCCTGCCCATTTCGGTTCACGATATGTCCAAATAGCGGGAGTATGTATCTAACTTACCTGGTTAAAGGAGTAAATAAATAAATAAACGAATGCTGTCTCGAATCGAAACCTGCAGCCTAAGGGCCAGCCGTGGGCCTCCAGGGCGCGCGTCCGAAGGGCGTGCGGTGCGGCCTGGGGGCCCCAGCAACCGTTGGGCCCCCAAAATGGGGCCCGTGTCCAGGCTTAGCATGTAACAGTAGCGCAGTTCATCATCATCATCATTCCTATCTTCCCAAGAAAACATGAAGTTAGACCTTGCAAACACGCTGGAACCATATATATATGCATCTGAGTTAAACCACCACTACCTATCACAGATGTAGTCCCATTTTGGGAAATGACCTTATCCAAAAAGTTCGGGAGTCCAGCGCAGGGTCAGCAGGAAAAAAAAAAAAGAAAAAAAAAAGGAGATGGGGACCGTGTGGGATCGCGGTGAGGGGGAGACACAGAAAAAAAGAAACTAAGAACTTCAAATCCTGCGACGTCGGGGACGGCCCTCATGGAGGTGGAAGTCACACCAGTGCTGAACGTGCTTGATGTTTTTTTTTTTTTTTTTTTTTTTTTTTTTTTTTCATTTCCTTCTAGTGCCCTGCCAGCAAGGCAGAGCGTATTCCAGGTGGGGCAACTCACTACCTTACTCACCTCGTACTCACACTAGTACTGTAGCATCGTGTATTCGGCCGCAGATGCCCTCACTGAGGGCGCAGTCTCACTAGCACCTCATAGAACAGCATAAGGGATGCTTTCTTTTCTTCTTCTTCATCTGGTGTTCATCAGACAGATGCCCTCACTGAGGGCGCAGTCTCACTAGCACCTCATAGAATGTATCACGGCGTTAGGGAAGTGTCTTTTTTTCACTTCTTTGTTTTTTTTTTCCCTTGTTTTTTTTTGGATTCAACTGCTGCGAGTACCAGAAAAGAAAATAGAATGGGACCAGGCTGGGCAAAACTCGGTGCGCAGTGCAGGTTCTGCAAAAACAGGATCGCAGATAGTGGTGGCTCAAGGAAGTCATTCACGACAAGCCTCTGAGCATTCAGCAAGGCGCTACAGCACCAGCTGCGTGGTATGGAATGGAAAATCAAGCGTACATGGAAAGCCTTCAAACACCCATCACTTGATAGATCTACAGCAACCGTAGCGATCACTCAGAGAAGGCATTAGCCGAATCCTCCAGCCCTCCAGGCAATTGCCTGATGGAACCCAGCTGAGTGTCTAATGGAGTAACCAAATCCTACCTGGATTCCGCTAAGCATCCAGACAGGGACTGGGAAGATAAGTAGTCCGACTCACATAAACCAATCAAAATGGTTCTCTTACCACAATGTCCGTCGCTCCATATAAAGTTGTTCATTACACAATACACAAGTGAATGGATGTTTGAATCATGTTTCCTGTGACCGTGCCCTTTCTTCCGCCGAATATAACACACCCCCATGACAACCGCACGGGACCCGAAAGATAGCTTGTATACTTTCATGTAACTGTCGACGGGGTCTTATTGTTTTAAAGCACCAGTACACCACATATCGGCCCGCGGGCGTCAGCACGAAACCCGCACCACTTCGGAGGCCGCCAATTTTTTTTTCAACGGCGAGCCTGGCCGCGTGGCGCCTCCGAGTTTTGCTTGTGGCGACAAAAACTTTCTGCAATGCTGGGCCCGTGTACTAGCACTTTAACAGCACCGAAGAGTACACAGTAATATTATTTTCACACGCACAGGCATACTATAGACAGAAAACAGTCATTGGGGACCCAAGGACAGGATCGATTACCTTGAGCACCTCGTCCATGCCCCTGCATCGTTCAATAATCTCTCTCCGACGTTTCCGGATTGCAGCTGCAATAACAAACAACAGCAAATCTTGGGTTGCAGCAGGCCTGCCATCTTTGAGATTTCTGACAACTGCTCCTCCAGCAGCAGCTGCAGCAGCAGCTGCAGCATCCTCTGCAGCTGCTGCCGCTGCATCTGCCCAGACTACCTGAAAAGACCAACCATGAAGACTAGAGTTATTGCACATGCAGAAACACTTGCCCTGAAATGAGGCCCATGGCCATGGAAGACAGATCATGTAGACATAATGAATTAATTAAACGACCTACAAGTTAAGCCAGTGCCGCAATACGGCCACGCCCGCAATGATGGAAATATCAATGAGATATTTGGGGTCTACATATGTATCCATCTACAGATCTCTCTCTCTCTCTCTCTCTCTCTCTCTCTCAAAACACAAATACGTGAGACACACCACGCACGAGCGCGCGCACATGAATGAAGGCAAACATAATTCTCCAGTAAACAACCAGTTACTGACGGATGCAGAACGAAGGAAAATGATGCCACATATCCCAAACCCAAACGAAAAAGATCAGACTTCTGCGAGATACAAGGCCCTCGGCAGCAACCCAGAGGTCACCAGGGGCGCCCCTATTTTGAAAGGGGCCTTGAGTTTGGAGCGGGCCAGGTCACTCTGCGCGACAGTTGTAGCTACCGGGCCTGTGTGACCTCGACATGCTGAGGGCCCGACGCCATGACGTCACACATTAGGTCACTCTGCACGACAGTTGTAGCTACCGGGCCTGTGTGACCTCGACATGCTGAGGGCCCGACGCCATGACGTCACACATTGGCTGTAGGCCAATGAGAGCCCAGCGAACAGCATGCGGCACGCCGCTCAAGCCCGGGACCCCAACTAACTCAGGCCCTGGGCGCAGATCCAGCATGGGACCCAGAAGCTATTGGGTAGCCTCGCCTCCACCAGGGAACAGGCCCAAGGCTGCCGCCACTCTCCATAAAGGAAAGAGCAGGCCTCCAGTCCAGACATTCGGGCTGCAGGCCATTGTGCAACAGCGCTGCTGTTTTCAGCGGCGAGACTGGGCGCTGGCCAGAGCGCACACGGGAACTGGAGAAGAAAGCAGTTGGGCGCTGCTTCGCACGTCGGCTATAGCCAGGCCGTTCGTGCATGGGAGCCCGTGGGGTGATGGTGGTCCTTGGGCGTGATGGATAGCCTGTGAAGGGACACACAAGGGATGTGTCTGGGAGAGAGGAGGACGTAGCTGGTCTGTGGTACAGGTCTGCATGGGCGACATCTTCATGCGCATCAGTCCGCTGCTGAAGTTCTTCTGGTTGCATCATTTAGTGTAGGCTAGGATAGATGTCGTGAGCCTCTGGTTGGGCGTCATGCGCCATATGGAAGAGCGACATTGGATACTTTGTTTGATGGTGGCAAGTCGGGCTGACATTGACAATTGAGTTCATTGCTTTGCTCTTATTTGGTGTGTACTCGGTGCATCCTGCTTTCTGTGCACGACTACCTGGTTTTCAATGTGATGATGCATTTTCGATTTCTGTCATTCACTCTCGCTCATTTTCCTTGCACTTCTATTTTCATTCTCTTTTTCCCACTCGAAACAGCTAACATTTTTACAGCAGACCCCAATGTCTCGCCCACTTTCAAATCTGCTCCTGAAATCCATTGAGTGTCGTCGGGATCACATGCTTTGAAGGTAACTTTGTACTGTCGAGGCTTGCTGCCGTACTTGTGATCCGTGATGACGCGGTCAACTTCCTGATGACCATCCATAGATGGAGGGTCTTGCGATCGTCGGCCCAGGAAGTCGTCGCTCTTAGCTGGTGTATATGTTGCCAGCTTTGAGGCGTGAAAGACTAGATGGACCGTCAGATGCGGGGGGATGTTGATCACAAATGAGGGGCCATCGGGCTCATCGCCCGCGGCTGATGTTACGGCCCATGGTCCAAACCACTTGGGGAGTAGTTTGCACGAAACATCCTGCTCGAGTGCAAACTCTTCCGCGGAGACCCAAACCAGATCACCGGAGCGGATGGGACATGGCACGCGACGCCTATTGGCATGCTGCTGCATGCGGACTTGAGCCTTTTGCATGTTCGCGCGGGCTTGAGCCAGCAATTCCCTGTACTTCCGGATGGAAGCGGGAGAGCAAGCGGCATCTATGTCGGCTGTTCGTGGAAGGAGAACATCAGCGAAGATACGGCCTCTCCGGCCACCATGGTGCAACTCGAATGGAGTCACACCAATTGTCGGATGCAACGAAGTGTTGTAGGCGAACTCGATGTCGGGGAGGCGGTCAACCCAATCCTTCTGATCCGGACGGATGAGCGTACGAAGCATCATTTGAGCGGTTTGATGTGCCGCTCCGTTTGCCCGTCCGTTTGTGGATGCTTCTGATCCGGTAATGAGGTCGGGCCATCGAAATCGTTGCCGAAGTTGTGCAATAGTGCGATTTACTCTGAAATGGCCAGCGAGTCATGAGTCGTGGTACTCGCCGAGAAGGTGAGTCCGAAGACGACGGTCTCGTGGGACACACAATAAGTCCTTGCCTTGCGAGTGGAGGAGCAAGTACCCGTCGACGATGCGATAGTGGCTGGCCGGCGGGTGATCCGAAGATAGTTGCACATACAATGTGGCGAAATCCGGATCGGACTCATAGCCCCTAATGAAATGTCGCTGGAGTTCCTCGTCGAACGCGAAGGCATGATGTGTCATAGCGCGAAGATCGGGTCTTCGCGAGAGTGCATCTGTTGCGCGATTGGAGAGGCCGGCGAGATGTTTCAGTGTGAAGTCAAATTGGTCGATGAAGTGCATCCATCGTCCGATCGTGCTGCTCACCGTAACCTGCGTCTTGTGGTAGGTCAACGGGTTGTTGTCCGTGACCCATGTGAACCTACGACGCCCAAGGAGGAAGTGCCGCCATCGCTTGAGAGCCATCACGAATGCAAGCAGCTCCTTCTTCCTTGCATCATCAAGTGAATTCATGGGAGGCACTTTGTGGCTGAAATACTCCACGAGGTGCCAGTCGTCGCCGTCGTGTTGTTCCAAGACTGCCCCAATGCCATAGCCAGAAGCGTCAGTTGTCACTCTCGTTGGCAGGGTGGGGTCATAGATGCTAAGAACGGGTGCCATGAGCATGGATGACCGGCGGGCGTCGTCATCGAATACGAATGGCGCCTTTGGCGATTGTAATCTCGTCATAGGTGCGGCAATCCTTGAGTACCCGGTGATGAAGCGTTGATAGTACCCCGCCAACCCCATGAATGAGCGAACGTCCATGGTGTTGGTCGGCTCGGGCCATACGCGGATGGCCTCAATCTTGTCCGCGAGCGGACGGTTGCCTTGCGGCATCACATAATGCCCCAAGTACTCCAACTCTTGTCGTCCAAATTCGCATTTGTCGCGGTTGACTTTGTACTTGGCTTGTCGTAGCCGCTCCAAAACGGTGCGCAGGTGCTCCACATGCTCGTCCAAACTCCGACTATACACCAAGATATTGTCGAGGCAGATGACTACGAATCTATCCAGCATGTGTCGGAGCTCCGTTGTCATGGCCGCTTGGAATGTGGTTGGGGCATTCGTAAGGCCAAAAGGCATAACCAGCCATTCAAAATGCCCATATCGCGTCTTAAACGCGGTCTTGTAGCGGTCCTCCTGCCGGATCTCGAGTTGGTGATATCCCGATTTGAGGTCAAGCTTGGAGAAAAACTTGGCGCCGCCGAGCCGGTCGAGGAGGTCGTCGATGCGCGAAAGAGGGCCGGCGTTCTTGATGGTTTGCGGGTTGAGCTTGTGATAATCGATGCACAACTGCAAATCCTTGTTCTTCTTTCGGACGAAGAGAACGGGAGCACCGTATGGCAAAGAGCTAGGCCAAATCTAGCCTTTCTCGAGAAGGTCGTCGCGTTGTGCCCGTAGCACACTTAACTCTTCCTCGCTCATGCGGGAGATGCAACCACGCGGAGGTACGGCCCCGGCCTCGAGGATGATCTTGTGGCCGATGGGCCGATCCGGTACTACTCCGTGCGGGGCTTCGAACACGTCGTCGTATGCGTCGAGAAGCTCGATGATGCATGGGTCCGGTGATGAGTCCGTCGATGGAATGTCATGGGGCGGGAGGGCGTGGAGAAAACACACCCCCATCTCCTCAATGTCATCCCTGATGATGGAAGCTCGAATGCTTGCGGCGAACACCACGTGGCAGCTGATCAAAGGGTGAGGAGGAGGCACCGTGCATGGGACTAGTACTCCGTTCTAATCACAAACGTGAACGGCGCGGCGGTAGAAGTTCACCGGGTGATCCTCGCTTCGCAGCCATGACATGCCCAAGATCATGTCGAACTTGATGTCGAAAATATTGAAGGACACGGCCTCGCTTGCATGCGGGTCAAAGTACATGGGGACGACATCGATGCACCGGTCGATTGACTTGTGCGTGTGACCATCGGCCAACGTGACTTGCGTGGGCTGCGACTTCCTTCGAACGCGTGGCCCAAGGCCAGTGCGTACCATTAGCTCATGTAGTTGTGAGTAGCTCCGCAATCGATCAAAGCGCTGCAGGTCGCCTCTCCAATCTAAATGCGTACGTACAACAATGGCGCGTAGATATCGTCGTACCGTTGTGTCTTTAACTCGCGATCAATCTTCCCAAGGTAGTCGCGAAGGTTAACAACCTCTACTCCGGCGTCCATCAACGGAGCTGGTACTGCAGCGTGCAAGTAATCCTGCAATTGTGGCATGAGCACGTTGCAATGCGGTTTCGACAATCGACCGGACGGGGGAAGGGGCATCCATTGAAAGTCCGCGAACGTCAATGGGTCGAGCTCTTCAAGTCTTGACCATCACGTCGAATCCCCGACGATAGTAGGCGGCGAAGCCGCCGAATCGGTTGCCGATGGTGGTGAAACCGTGCATGCGGTGGATTGTTGCACGTGGAGTGGTTGGTCCAACGGTGGGACCAAGTGGGCAACGTAATCCTCGTAAGTGAACAGAGGACTCGCAACATTCGCATCCTCCCTAGATGTGTAGGAGGCCGCTAGCAAGGCGACCGAATCTGGCGGAGTGAGAGGTGGAGTCGCCTCACTTCCCGCTCAACTCAGTTTCCCGAGTTAATGCGAGGCCGAATATCCTCCTTGCCTTGATCCTGGCAGTGGGAGGTCTTGTGCTTGGTGCTATTGCACCAATTGCAACAGCCGTATCGGCCGCGGTACTTGTATTCGGCCTCGGTCAAGTTGAACTTGACCCATGGTGCTGGCTGTCCATTTCCTGTCGGCGATGCTGTTTTCGCCTTCCCTTTGTTACGGGAGTTGTTGCTTCGCGGCTGGACGGCGGCCACCTGATCTCCCTCACGTGATGCTTGGGTGGCTGCCGAGTCTTCCACAATGTTGTCCGGTTGGACTGCAGCAACATGCTGCGGACGCGGACCAAATTTTCCTTTCTCCACATAGGTTGGCTGCCATGCTGACTTCTCGTGTGCAGCCGCCCTGTTGGTCTTGATGATCTCCCTTGCCTTGTCGATGATTTCGGCGAAGGTTGTGTATTGCTCGTGATCACCAAGTGCAAGGCTCAAAGCGGCACATGACTGATTGTATAACTCCCGGCGCAGATGCGAAAATGGCAACTCGAGATCGGCCGTGGCCACGATCTTTTGCCATTCTGTGAGCCAGTGACGTGTTGGTGTGTTGCCTTGAGACATGGCGAAGAGGCGGTTGATGGCGAGCATCGGGGCGTCGTCCACGATGAACCGCTTCTTCCATAGCCTTGTCAATTCTTCCCAAGAGATCTTCTCATGTAGATCGGCGACCTGGACGCCATGGATGGTTGCCAGGTGACAGAGCCAGATCTAACATCCGCCCTTTGAGTTGAGGAACAGCGCGCCGATGTACGAGTGCTCAGGGACAAAAAGAATCTGAAGTTTCGTCGTGAAGCCTTCCCACCAGGGGACCGGGTCTTGATGCGTATAATCATCGAACTTTTCGATGCGGAATGTCAGCATCTTGTAGTGCTGCGCACTGGTGATGCCAGCCCTATTGGGCAGCTGGTGCAGTTGCTGAACCTCGGTCTTCAAGGTGTCCAGCTGCTTGCTGATGGTGGCTGGTGCAGCGAAGGTGCTGATGTCGCCGAGCATTGCGACTGCATGGTCAACTTGTTCCTCCAATTGGCGGGTAGAGGGTGCACTGCTGGAATCACCAGCATCTGGTCTTGGTGCAACTTGCTCCAAGTCCTGTACACGGGAATCAAGTGCCCGTGTAGCATCCTCGTGCAGATTCTTGTGGTTCTGCACCGCCCGTCAGAGATTCGCCAGCTCGGACTGCAGGTGGTTACAAGTGTAAACCAACCGGGTCACAAGTTTGGCAAGGAATTCCTTGTGCTGCTCTTCCGGTGTCACGTCTTCGTGGTCCTCGGATGGTTCGAAATGCCAGAACTTGAGCTTTTCGATGCTGGTGGCTCCGTGCCGCTGTAACAGATCCTGGGCCTGTTTGCGGTGGATCTGGGCATCTGCGTCAGCTTCGGCCTGAAGTCACTGCTTTTCAGATACTGCCGCCGCTTCAGCCTGTAGGCGGGCAGCCTCGGCTGCCGCCTGACGCTGTTTCTCAACCTCGATCAGTGTGAGCTGAGCTTGGAACCGCTGTTGGTAGTCGGCAATGGACTCATTGGCCAGTTGGCCTGGCATGCCCAGAACTGAGACCGTCATGGTCGCAGGGCACTGCGGACGTTTGTACTGCTGCTGTCGTGGCACTGCTGACGAGGCACTGATTGCTGACGTGGCACTGCTACTGTCGTGACACTGCTGCTGACGTGGCACTTTACCAAACCGGGAATGCAGGCAAAGGGTTGGGTGGGAGGGAAAATGCAGGAAGGGAAACAACCAAACCGTACTTTCCTCCCGGTCCTAATCAACAGACTAAAAAAAATAAAATAAAATAAAAGAAGAGACTCGTCTCCCTTTTCTTTTTTTTTTTTTTTTGAAAATCTGTCGATTTGATATCAGTGAGGCATTTCAGAGGAGTACTATTAGCGAGATTTAGGCAAGGTTTCGCAAAGTTTCGGTTTTCAAAATGCAATCAAAATTTGTGCGAAATAGAATAGAGATTCAATTTTCGGAAAAGACTAAATCCAGTTTCCGAGAATATGACAACCTCTATCGTTATCTCAATATGCCTAGAAAACGAACTGCTAATATCAGAAATGTTTTTAGATGAAACGAAATGCTACTATCAGAAATTTTCAGATATAACGAAATGCTACTATCGGAAATTTTCAGATATTTGTTGCGAGAAGAATTTTTTTTTTGCCGAGATTTGACGAAGTCCTACTTGATTAACAATCAATCAATGAATCATCAAGCTATCAATCAATCATCGAACTATCAATCAATTAATAACTTCAAGCAGGCTCCTTGATTGGGCAGATCCTCTGATTGAGAGGTCTGCTCCAATACCAAACTGTCGCATACCGTAATGGTGCAGACCAGAACAAGAACAAAACTCTCTCACATAGTACAAGATAGCGCAGCGGAAGGCTAAAATACCAATGATCAACCCAATCAATGTTGCAATGCAGACCAAACATACATCATCATCATTCCATGGTGTGAAGGGGCCTGGTGCTCACACAGGAAGAATGCGCCAGTCCCCAACCATGCACATACGAAGAAGAGGGGGGTTAGACGAAGAGGAGGGGAAGATGGGAATGTAGTGAACACCAAGTCTTCGGTACAGGTCTCAAATAGTCCCTCGTCAAATGTCTGAATCCCAATGTCAAGTCTGGATCCAACTGTCGTCAAGTCCCGAAGTCCCCAATCTCTCTCTCTCTTAGTCTGCAGATACTGAGAAGTCAGGTAGCGAGAGGGTGAGGAAGAGATGGTGGACTTAGAAGAGGAAGAAGAAGAACTCTCTCTCTCTCTCTCTCTCTCTCTCTCTCTCTCTCTCTCTC